TATATATATATATATATATACATATGGGCTGTACGTCACAGTTGCAGTATCTGATGCCCATTACTGAAGTGCCTGTGCTTCTGCTCTTCTCAATCCTTGTGTATTTCCTTGGTTGCGAGGACCGTGCAATACGTCACGCTTAATTCTGCCCCCCTGTTCCCAGCCGTCAACCAGGCATCTCCCCACATGCCCCCGCCTTTCTTTCCCTCACGTGTGTTCTCGTTTCTGTTAGTTGCCGGAGGAAGGTTCCTAAGGCGGTCCTGCTGCTGCAGGTATATATATATATATATATATATATACTCAGTTCATCAGCATAGAGAAAAAAAGGATCATTTTAGAGGTATAAAGGAGAGAGTGAGGAAAGAGGTCTTGCAGGGTTTGCCAGTGGGGCTCTCTTGGTCGATCTTTCTGCATAGATTCCGCTGAGCGGAGGCGTGTGTGTGTGTGTGGGTGAGCCGAGGTCATGCTTAAGTGCTCCCTGCCATTGTGCAACGCCAGAAAGCTGGCGTTGCGATTCTTTCGCGAGGAACAACGAAAAAATGCCAATCTGGAGGGTCTGTCGGCTGCCCAGAAGGCAAAGGTGATTATGAAGATGTTCAAACAACTCAATGGACGCGACATGGAATCTCTTGAGCGGAGGGCCACTGCTTGGGAGGCCAAGAAATCGGGCGGTGCTAGTGTTGCCGAGCCCCACCATCGGCGGGGCGAGGTGACTCCCTATGAAGTGTTCTTCAAGGAGCAGCTATCGAATCCCTCCATCGCGTCCATTACGTCACCGGGAGTGCGTGAGCGTAAGCTGTTCGCCATTTACAACTCGCTGCCGGAAAGAACGCGGGAGGCTTACGAGCAACGTGCTCGGGAAATTTCGCGGAGCGATGGTGCAAAAGCTTTCCCCGCCTATCGAACACCGGTGTTGCTATCGAAGGAGAAGGCACCAGCTAGGAAGAAAAAGAAGGTGAGTGGCAAAAACAAAAAGAAAAAGACAATTCCTAAGCGGAAAGAGCCTTCTGGCAAGTCTGCCGCCTCACCGTATGCCACGTTCGTGAAGGAGCAGATGCCCCACGTGAAGCATATCCCGCCTAGAGAGCGAATGAAGGTGATCGCTGAGAAATGGAAGGCGTCGAAGGCACCAGCCACGTCTGAAAAAATAGCACCACCCGAAGGTGCTGCGTTTGCCAATGGTGCTGATGCGGATGTTGCTGCGACTTCAGCTACTGCTACGTCTGATGCCACACCAAAGGTATGACGCCACTGGATTCTTTGGCGGCACTGGATAAGAAGTGTTTCCTTTCCATCATGAACTGTCTTCGTCTTCTTCCGCACTCAAGAAGGCGCACCATGGAATGGTGCTCTGCGCGTCGCAAGAGGGCTGGGACTATACTGTCTTCAACTATGGTGTTGTGTGGCTCTTCCTACCACCCTTCTTCGTGGAATGCACCCACCATAGATGTTAACACACAACGGCTCCTCCTGTCTCTGCCTTTTCTGGCGTTCTAAATGGTTGAACCGATGGACTTTCATGAGGCTATCTTGCTCTTGTATCCGCCTTCTCTCCTGGCTTTTTTCTCTCTCTCTCTCTCTCTCTCTCTCTCCGTTGCGCTGTGCGCCTAGTCGGCCTGCGTACATACAAGGAATTCACAGATGCTCCGTTTTTGCCGCTCCCGCCTCGCCATTGGTGCGTACAGCCTGTTCATGGTGGAGCAGAAGAACAACCCCGCGCTGAAGGGGCTCCCCGTCGCGCAGCGCGGCAAGGTGACCTCGAAGCTGTACAAGGCACTCGCACCGGCTGAGCGCGCGGCGCTAGAGAAGCGTGCCAAGGCGATGCCATCCGCAAAACGCACCAAGACATCAAAGTCGAAGGCAACTGGTGAGAAGAAGAAACGTGCGCCGTCAAAGTACACTGAGTTCGTAAAGGCGAACCTTCCAAAGTACAACCAGCTACCCCACAAGGAGCGCCTTGCTGCTGTGGCTAAGCTGTGGAGACAACAGCAGCAGACAACGATGAAGAAGATCTGAGCCCCCACGCCAGCGATATGGGTAGGGCGTGGGTGTGTCATGCTTCAAAAGATTCTCGCGCATGAACAGAAACGATGGGGACAGACTACTTTCTAGAGCATAGAGTGAACGCAGAGGTGGCAGCTCCGCTTTGTCTTTGTACACCCATGCAGGTGCGCATGGCTGTACTATAAGTAACCCGTGTCAATGTCCGCTTGTGTGAGGATGGCACACCCATTTTGAGCCGATGTTGGGGAAGGGAAACACCGAAATAACACGCTCTGTTGTTTCACGCTCTTCGTGGAATGCACCCACCATAGATGTTAACACACAACGGCTCCTCCTGTCTCTGCCTTTTCTGGCGTTCTAAATGGTTGAACCGATGG